ATGGCGTTTCCGCTCCTCGCTTCGTTTCTGAGACCACCGATATATTACTTGATTCTGCTCAATGCGGAGATTTGATTCACTTTCTTCGGGACTGTATGAGGTCTGGTCGAGTGTTTGCGCCCGCTGGACGCCGTGCATCCCCGTGAAGGGAGAGTAAGCTTGGTTGAGTCTCTTGATTCTTTTGCACTGGGTAGACGTCTGGCCCTCGCGTGGCTGTTCTTGATCTGATATCTCAATATCGATGAAAGGTATCTAATATCGGACGCGTAAGCTTTGAACCGCAGTATGGAGAGAAACAGGTTCGGGGCGACTTACCACTAATGACAACATGCGTCCAGGACGTGCGAACCAGTCAGTATTGCTCCATGTATGGGCGGTGTCTGGCTCTGACAGAGTTTCAGAATCATCATCAATATGCCCTGTTAAATTGTGACGCCTTTGATACTCGATATCGAATCCCTTGGTCGCCTATGTCATACGAGTAAGCCAAAGAGTACGGTGTCAGGGAAGACTGCATACGTACATGTACATGAGGGATTCGAACTCTTGAGTGGAGGATGTTGGTCTCGCGGACCCTGATGCTATTTTCGAAAAACCTCCAAACCCTCCTGTCAACGTCATTGGTGTTGCGGTATTTGGCATTGTGAATAATGAAATCCTATAAATATTAGCGGTCAATGAGAAAACAATAGAGAAGAAGTCACGCTAGTCGCTTGCTTACTTTCACCCATGTCATCTAGTAGATATGTTAGCCCTGCATTTCACACCTAAAGCCTTTCGGGACGTTGGGCACTCACATTATTAGACGGGAAATTCGTCCATCTCCAGGACTTTTTACCAACACTTTCTTCGAGGTATTTCAAAGCATCAGACTCATTCTCCACATCGGAATCACCGCATCCCATAGCCAAAACTACCTCGGATTTCTCATCTTGACTCAAGTCATCCCAGATCCGACTGGCAAACTTTGTTTTACTGTCAGCAAGGAATCGTGGGCCACCATCGACATCCTCAATTGTACCCCTGTTGTCAGCCTCAGGGTAAAGAACCTGGGATATCTTCATATCCGTTCGCACCCAAGACATGGATGTACTTCCGTCCGGATTTGGATCCAGACCCGGCCACTGATATCTGAAGTACACTGGGAACTCACTGCAGATCTTTCTCGTTTCTTCGGGGCAGGGAGCTGGCTCGTTGGGAATATTGCCCGTCCGCTTCCGAGTCACGCCGCTTCTTTTCAGCCTCGAGAACTCCCGGAGGACGAAGTCGTGATCTTCCTTGGACAAGGGCGTGCGATCCTCATAGAACAAATCCTGCGGCGTTTGCCAGTTCAGATTGCGGCTGTCCAGGTCGGCCCCGCACTCTAAAAGCATTCTTATCAAACCATGATCTCCTATTTTGCAGGCATCATGTAATGGAGAGTCCCCTAGCTCATTTGATTTGAAGTTAGTATCAATATCTTGTTTGTTCCGCTCGGCTTCATGAAACGTGGAATGCCTTTCGAAGCAGACGCCCGGCAAGGGAGATAAAAAAGAAGCAACTTACCAAAATCGTTCTTGGTATTGACTTCAGCTCCTGCATCGAAAAGCAGACTGATGCACTTTTTGGACTCTTCATCCAAAGTGACGGTTGAGAGAAGATGAAGCGGCGTATAGAAATCATTGTTGAGCGCGTCAACATATGCCCCTCTGAGCAGCAGAGCCTGCAGGAGCTGAACATTGACACTATCAGATCGAGGCTTTTCATTCAACTCGCCCTCGGTCTCTTCTGACTCGGTACAGTTCTTAGCAACCCGATGGAGTGGAGTATTTCCCTCTCTGTCTCCAATGTTAATATACTGCGAAGCGGCGAAATAAGGGCTCTCCAACATCTCGGTGACAACATCTATATTCCCCCGGACAACAGCTTCGAAGAGCGCCGTACGACGCGAGCTCCCATATTGGCCATCAAGCACAGTGTCAGATTGGCCGATGAGGTATTTTGCATTCTCTTGGAGGGTGCGACAAATGGATATGAAGAGCACAGAGTATTTGCCCAGCATTTCTTTCTCGGTGGCATCCTCTATCCTTTGCAACGCCTCCTCATCTAGCTCTCGGCTCAAGTTGACCAACTGCCTCGGGTGGACCTTGTTCTCTTTTTCCTGAATGACTTTTTCAATGCCTCCATCGCTACCACGCGTGGCTGCTCGCCACAGTGCATCTTCCGCCAGGGACTTGAAGGAGGGAGGCGAGGCTGCCTCCTGTCCAAGAGCAGGACGGCTAGTTTGCGCTCCCATCGCGATACTCACAACATATATGTGCGCTCTTTCGCCCGTCTGGCGGCTTGACAAGAAAGTGAGTTACAACAAGGCTCGCTGGTCAAGGAGAGCAAATTGCAAAAAGTGCGAGTTTAATCAAAACATGGATCATGGGATGGAGTAAGCATACAGGGTTCTTTGGTTGGCTGTGGATTCTTTGCAGCCATCACCAACCAATGGGGAGTGCATGGCACCACATCCCGGTCAGGAGCTGAACTCGCCTGACCGTCTTGCTTTCTTTTGCGCACAAATGCTACCCTGTTTCAGTAGCTACCGGCCAGTTTACGTTGCAACCATGACTGGAAAGGCAGAAATATGATCAATCCCTCAGAAGAACGCCTGATAATGAGCCATTTTGGAGCATTGTAGGCGGTGTGAGGTTTTCATCATCTCTGGGATTCGACTGAGTTTCTAGGCTTAGCCTGGCATTACTGATAAAAGCCTTATCTCTTGTATATACAAGAAAGCAGGCATGGTTCGCATTTACTCTTGATAAGGAATGAGCAAACGTTAAACAGGTCGAGTCTTGATATATTCTACGTTAACTAGGTAAAGCGCCTCTTTACGCTGTAGCCGGTTTTGATCGACTGCAGGCTTGTGCCTTACACTTTCACATGGGTTAGTTAACAATGTCAGCTTACGACAATTCAGAAGCCATGGGCTGATTTCTGGAAATAAAACCAATAGTTATTATTTATCTTCTTTCGGAGCCGAATTAAATAAAGTGGTGGGATAAACCTTGTTGAAGCAGATCTTAGAGAGTGCCTTAATTGCCGCATATCTTTGGAGTTGATGAACGTTATATTTTCGCAACTATACCTAATAGCTAGACCTAACCTTAAGTCTTCGGTTAAGAGTATTTTGGATATTGGGTAAGTATAGCACGGGTTCACAACTTATTATAGAGGCAAATGAGTCGTCAACCTTTCTAAGATACGGAAACTCGCCCTTGGCGACATCTTGCTCTAGTTCCATCGGCGCTCTATTACTCCGTGGGTAGATCTTAAAAAATTGAGAAAACCCCGATGAAAGGTGGTAGGAAATCAACGAACAATATCGATTTTTTTGCGTTTTCGTCATCCGGCAAATCGTCATCTCTGCATGATGGCCGCTCAAGACATAGGGACGGCCGGCACACCTTGATGTGCTACAGCACTTTGAACTCTTTCAAGCTTGTCGCAAGAGTTTTTCTGACATGTCCTGGCGCCAAGTTAAGATGCTGTAATGTCTTTTTTGCATTGATAGAGTACAGCAATAATTGCCCTGTCGTCGATCGGTCTGACGAACATGTTTGGCTTATGTATGAACTTTTCGAGATGCGGCATGTTGGTAAATACATGGTGAAACTGTGATGTTCTGAAATAAAAGTTGCGCAAGACTAAGACTTCGACATTCTCAAGACCAAGCACAGGGCTAGGAAACGAATTGCAACCATCGAAACAGACGTATCGAATGTTTAGAAAGTATCTCCAGGTCTGAGAGAATGAGGCTTCAATTTTATCACTCAATTTCATCACTCAATTTTATTACACTCCACATCCTTGCCGAAGCTGTCGAGGTAAAATTTGGTTATCGTTGTTGAGCTGAATGTTGGACCAAGAATGTCGATAAAACGGTCTCCATTCCCTTCAATTTCCAGCCGACCATAATTGAGATTTCCCAATGCGTGAATAAGTAGGCCGAAGATAATACCCTCTGCCATTTGTTCATCCCTGTTTATCTGATTACTAAAGGAAATGGTGGTATGATACACTGGTTATATTGCCGTCGTAATTGCTGAGAGCGGAGTCGATATCACCGTCATCGGCTAAGCCGTCTCCATCGACGACAACTTGATGGCGATTTCGTTGATTTTGTACTTCGTAAATCTGGGCTGGACCTCCGTAATATCATTCTTCGCGCGTTTCATCTTCCTACTCACTCTCATCTTGGTTAAAACTCGACTCTTAACCGATTTCATTTTCATCGTCAGCATCATGCTCTTCATGCTCCTACTGTCCATCCTGGATCGTGTCATCAGCTTTGTGCCCGTTTCCCAGCCCTCGGGAAATAGCAAACCGCGCCTCGTCGCCATGTTTCTTAGAAATTCTCAATGTTGACCAGGCTATTGGTGTACATTGGTCCTTATTATGACTATGCGTCTGACGTGCCGGGCACGATCTGGTGTTCTGCACATGAAAGAAATGAAGTGACGTGGATCGGAGATTCTAACAACTTCCCGATCCATCATCCTAGAACGGTTGGTGCGGTTAGCAAAAGGAGAATGAGATTACCGGAGCGCAACCAACGGCTTAAGCATCGTCTGACCAACAGAAGTTGCTCGGATGGCCATGGAACCTGCTGTTTTCTTAATAATTGCAGGTGTGTCACATCTAGTCAACGCAACAGCAGGTAATTGGGTGGAAAAGACTGCCGTTTTGGTCAAGGAAATTTGAAATTCGCGGAGATTGGAATCCTGGCGGACAGAAGAGGGCCGTAATATTTTAGCCTGAGCTTGTAAGGTTTCACCACGTCAATGACATTCTGACAAGGCTGCCAGTCCCGGGAGCGATCCTGGAAATAAGCACGATAATTCGGTAAATTGGGGCTGCTTACTCTGACCATGATGCCGGAATCCGTGCTCGACCATTGATAAAGAGGCCATGGCCCCCGAGAGACCGTTCCCATCTTCATCACCTAGTTAATACCTACTCGACTCGACACCATGGCAAAGAAATCGATTCCATCAGCGCCTGCGCCCGGCACGAAAGTGGTCGCCCTGCACCCAATCGACCAACGTTTCCCGGTTGGAGATTTACGGACAATCGTTTTCTTTGTCATCAGGAGCACCCTGGACCAACAGATTTTGCGCGACTCACTCGATAAGCTCATCCGGAACCATCTGCCTGTCCTGGGCGCGCGTCTGCACGCTGCCCCGAAAGAAGGCGGATTGAACGAGTTCCATTACCCAGAGCCCTTCCCCGACGATGCCACCCTTTTTGCATGGTCGGAAAAGTTCATCGAATCGACCCTGGACGCGACCAAGCTCATCCCGGACACTTCAACCTCCAATGGATCTGTGGTCTGGGGTCTTCCTATGAAGGATTTCGAGGCGGCTTGGGCGCCATCTGACTGGAGTTTTCAGCGCAAGGACGACAAACCCGACACGCCTCTGCTCCTGGTCCATTTCACAGGCTATCAGGATGCTACGGTCCTCACAGTGAACATTCCGCATTGGGTTTCTGACCAAAAGGGCCTTGCGAGCATGATGCAGGCGTGGCTCGCCGTCGCGCAGGGGTTGGAGCCGCCTCCTTTCATAACGCTGGAGCCTGGTGCCCTTGACGGACCCGACCTGCCGCAAAGCGAGCTTCGTCAAAAAGGGAAATATCGATTGAAGTCGAAAGGGGAATATATTCGATCAATCGTCGGACTCTTGCCCGATATAATCCGGAACCGAGAAGAGACTGGCCGGGTGATGTTTTTGCCCGTATCGTAGAATTGTGAGCTCACCCTTGTTCACAGAAACCTTAACTATGGCTAGCCCTATAGGCTGTATTATTAGGCGATAATAGGTGGACTGCAAATTTAAGAATCAGCGGACTCTAGCCTGCATGAAGTAGGTAAAAGATACATATGGTGTTGATGCCCAGGGCAGGCGTCACCTCATCTGTGTTCTTATTGTGTTGGGTAGAATGTGTCTTTTTTTCTACGCCAACTCACTTAGCATTCTATGGGAATATTCATGAAATGCTTTGTTTACTTTTTACATCAGATTCCCAAGCTCAGCGGTGGCATCAGACTTGTTGTTGTCTGGGTACAGGCGATGATCGACTGAGGAGCCGACCATTTGTGGATCAAAGACACGGCGGCCACCGTGGCGGCCAGGCCATCGTGGACAATTTCAAGTGGCAGACATTGACTCGACTGGCAGACAGTGTTGCGTGAGTTGCGAGAGCCAATTGTGCAAAATCCCCGGCCAAGGTGACTTATCTTTCTGCTTGTTTGCCGATCCCTATCATCTTGCTAAATTAAATGGCAAAAGGGCATTCCTTCATGAGCCTCTGGTGTCGTACAGACACAACGATATCATTCGGAATTCCGTCCTTTATTTGGCTCTGGGTCACGCATCGGGTATTGATAAGCCAAAAAGCCCCGTGTGCGTCATGAGTCTAGGCCTACTATTTCCCCATGCCCATCAACCGATCGAACCATACGCAGAGGCCAATAGAAACACAGAATGACAAATAGTCTAACGTTCTGCTCCTCTTGACGAGGAGCTTGAGCCGAGATCCGATATGCAACATGATGCATGGAACGCAGTCCATGCATGTGTTGAGTTCAGGTACAATGTTACCTCACATACCAGAAGAGATAATAGGTCTGTCTGGAACACTAGATTGCTGCGCGGCGGCGCACTGTCCCTTGGCCTGAAATTAATGCCGCGTGCCACCAAATTTGCTATACGAAGAAGTGAGATGTGACGGCTGCTTTCCATGGCTTGTATTGGACCGGCGGCTGCATGCTGTACCTGCATCTGCAGGTGTTGTTTGTGGCGGCCCTCGGGTGTTTCACAGAGACACACGGACCTTTTCCAAAGATGGGGACGATAATCCAGTTACAATCTACGACCTCATCCTGATCCCAGCAGTTGGACTGGCTCGGGAGATTAGCGATTGGATGCCGTTACCAAGATGCCTCCACTCGGCAGTCGCTCGAGCAATTGGGCTGCTGTTCTCGGCAATAAAAGCTGCCATGGCGCTAGGCCAAAGCACTTATTGTTGTTGGCTGACCCTTTTGGTGTTTGTGCGTCTTGTCATTTATTACGTAGGAGTCAAGCTCACCGTGTCAGCTACTGCAAGGGCTTTTTGGGCTTGGCACGGCTGATGATGATCATGTTCTAGGCCGGTCGGTCTATCCCTATGCAGTGAATGCTGTTGCACAAGCCTTAGAGGATTTCCTATCTTCCTTTTAAATCCTGCGCCAAGATCGTTATGCTTTTGATTCATCTCCGCTCATTACAGCGGCACTGCATAAGATATACTCTCCTGGTATATATCCACCGGCAGCCCCCTTTATCTAGCCTGTTGAGCAAACACGTTGTCCACCGTACTGAGTGATTCACGGGAAACGTTCTTTTCACTATTCTTTTTTCCTTCGTTCAGAATACATTCATTTGTCTGCTGTGTTGTTCCCTCGCCTAATATCTTTTTCTGATTCGCTATCTGGTGGAATCCCGTCACACTCGTTTCGAAGCCATGATCTGGGATTTCATCATCGTGGGAGGGGGTCTTGCTGGCTCCGTTATCTCTAACAGACTGCATGGTACCTTGCCTCAAGCCAACATCTTAGTGGTAGAGGCAGGTCTGAATGCAAACAATGATCAAGGCATTCTATACCCCAATGGGACCGGTTCACTCTCTCCCTATATCTGGTACATTGAAACTCCACCGCAAGAGTTCCTTAACGGCCGTAAAATTGGCATGGGCCAGGGAACTGCCCTTGGTGGAGGATCCGTTGTCAATGGCGGTAAGTTTTGACTTTTCCATCATCGTAAAATTTATCGCTGACATGGTTTCGCTTCCCAGCGATCTGGACTCGCGGTGACAGCGAGGATTACGACGTCTGGGGCGAGACAGTTGGAGATAGCCGATGGAGCTATGAGGGCCTGCTTCCTTACATGAAAGCTTCTGAACAGTTTCGTTCACCTGAGCGAAACCCTGACCAGCATGGCTTCAATGGCCCTGTGCATGCCCAAACCGTCACATCAACAGGTCGCAAATACCCTCTTCGTGAGCCTGTACTGGGGTCATGGCAGGAAATTGGCTATACCCCTGCCCCCAGTTTTGACGGAAACAGCGGGAGCCCTATCGGCATTGCCGACGTTTGTGAGAACAGAGATAACGGCAGACGGCAGATTGCCTCAGTGGTCTATCCTCTTAATGGAATCACAGTTCTCACGGAGACCTTTGTGCAGAATATATTGATCAATGGGACTGGCGATCTCGCTGTGGCTGACGGCATCAAACTTGCCAACGGCACCGACATCAAGGCAAAACATGTCGTACTTTCTGCCGGGGCACTTCGTACTCCCCAGCTTCTGATGCTTTCAGGTGTTGGGCCTCAAGAAGAGCTTCAGAAGTACAATATTCCAGTCAAGGTGCCATCTACCGACGTTGGAAAGAACTTGATTGACCACTCCATTGTCGACACCAACTGGAAGATCAAGAATCCATCCCAAGGATGGGCTCCAGGCTCGAATAATCCTCTATTTCAGCAGCCTGAGTTCTCTCTTGGACAGGCTCAAGACTTCATGGTATGCGATACAGTCCCCCGCGCAGGTCTCATTGCTGCCATCGCCGCCGACGAGGGTGCTGAGCCTGACGAATCTTCCCACCCTCTTCTGAAGAAAGCCGGTAGGACTTTCCTTGAGCTGAACCTGAAGTATGGCTACTCCAAAGATGGTAGCAGCCTCAACTTCCAGTCCTACATGATGCTCAGTCAAACACGTGGCACCGTAACTCTTGGGTCAGCTAACGCAAAGGACTTCCCGATTGTTGACCCCAAGTACTTCAGCACCGAGGTTGAGAGATATGTTCACCGTCAGGGTATGCGCGCGATTTTTCGTCTCGCTGGGACTGATAACACCACTCTGGGCCGTGATATCCTTGCTGGGGAGGTTGTACCGGAAGCTCAAGTTCCTCTTCGGGGAGATATCACTGACGCTGAGCTTGATCAGAGACTCAAGGCTGGAATTCGGTATGTTCTAATTATTTGGTGCAAATTCTTATGTCTTCCAATCGGGATATCAAGCTTTAGTTTGCTAACATTGGTGATGTCTTTGTAGGGCTGGTCTTCACTTTTTGGGTACAGCCTCTATGGGCAAGGTCGTCGACACCAACCTCAAGGTAAAGGGTGTCAAGGGACTCTTCGTTGCTGATGCGTCCATTGTACCTGTTCCCATTGCTGCCCATACTCAGGTCGTCGTCTATGCTCTTGCCGAGCAGGCAGCTGAAATCATTGCTCAAGAAGCCGCGAATGGCGATGACGATGATGATGACAGTGACGGTGATGACGATAGTGATGATAATGATATTGGTGCTGGGCCTGGAAATGGAAATAAATCCCCTCAGCCAGGCAGGCCAAAATGCCGAAAGAGACAAAAACAGGGGCGCAAAGCATAGCATCAAGGTCATAGCGTGAAATCCACTAGTTTTATCTGCCTTTGTACTCAGAGAGGGACTTTTCATTTTGTTGAGAGGTCGGGCCTGGCATCTTCCATTGCTGTCTTTTACTTTGTACTCAAACTCTTCTACCCGTAATCCGAGAGGTAGAAAGACCCAAATCCCTGCGCAGAAGTACTGTGTTGTATGCCATCATATAATGGGGACCATACAGCAGATCAGAGAAGAGTTGGACACATTAATGCTATCTATTCCACGGTGGAAACGGCCCGTGGTTTAGCAGTCTTAAAACTATGCTTCTCATCAGAATTTTCTTAAAGGGAGGAGTCCGAGTATGGTCAAACTTTATTTCTATCGACCCCGAAAGGTCACTTTAGTTATATATCTGATATTATTAGCCAATCCTTTTCCTGCGAAATCAGTCAGGCCTGGTGAGTTTGAAACTGGACAAGTTCGATTTTATAAGAAGACGGGTCGGATTGGCAGTAGTTTGACTGGTTACTTATTTTATTTCTTGTGCTCTCCGTCCGATGAAAGCACGGTTTGAGTATAAAGTAAAAACAGCAATGGAAGAGGCCAGACCCGACATTTTAACACAATGACTAGCAATGATAATAAAACAGAGCAAAGACCAGAAGAAAGAGCCAGTAATAGTACTAGTAGCCTCGAATATTTTGTTGAGACTACTCATACCTACCTATGTGATTGATCCTGCTGAGGCAACCTAGCTGGTTTTAGAGCAAGATCTCTAGGTTTTGCCGATAGTGTTCCTCATATGATTTCTTGCTTTCCTTGACCGATCGTATTCTAGTAGTGCAAGTTAGCAAACATGGAGAAGGGCCTGGGGCTGGGCGCCTACGATTTCCATATAGGCGCCTACTTCTACTTCCTGATCCCCTTATGCCGACATGCCTACTTCAGTCAGCATAAAGAAGGTTAAAAACATCATGCTACCAACTCACGGTCACACGATCTAGAGTGCAGATCGCGCCGATATGTATCCAAATTGCAACTATTGAGGCATGGTCGCTTAACTCAGTTGGTTAGAGTGCCGTACTAATATATCTACCCGATATCCTAGTAATGCGGACGTCGCCAGTTCGATCCTGGTAGTGACCATCCATTTTTGTCTTTTCTTTCCTTTCAAGCAGGAGACATTATTCTTTTCCAATACTCTTTTTTTTTGGAGCAACAGAAACGAGTCACATGGTGTTATAATTCATCGGTTCTTAGAAGCTATCTACCGCACCGTGCTGCAAGCACCCGCTTTATGCCTTTCTTAAATTGAAGAATAACGCTGGACGTGCTGTCGGTTATTACTAAGGTGGCATGTATATATTTATTATGTGTAACGTATACATACTTCTTGAGATGAGTTTGAAACTGGCATGTGTGAATTGTACCGGTTTTAAGATGAGCCCGAAATGTATGTATACGAAGATAACAGGTTCTGGCTTCCAATTATCTATATCGATACATTCTAACATCTTCAGCTGGACTTTCAAGCTCCAAGATATGTTTGCTGTCCGCTTCTTGAAACCTCATCGGGGCGTATCCCTCTGCTTCATGCACCTTTCGTGGCGCATCAACTTCATGAGGCGCCCAAAGAGGACTTTCTCGAGCGACGGATCCCGTGCTACTGGAATCGGTGGTTGCAATCTGCACAATTTCCTTTTGCTTCATGGCTTCATCAGGCGAGTCCTCTGGCCGACTCACTTCGACTTCCTGTGGTGGGCTCTTCTTTGGCTGCCGGAGGGAACGCCACCAGAGAAGGCCAATGCCTACCAGCAAGCAAATTCCCGCGACTCCCGCACCCGCGCCTATTCCAGCCTTGGCCGGAGTTGAAAGCCTGGACGTAGCTGGTTGTGAGTCTTCTGATCCAACGGACTCTTTCGAATCTGAGGGTTGTTCACTTCCAGACCCAGTGGAATCTGGTGTACTCGAAGCTTCTGTATTTATGGAAGAGGTGCTCGATATCCCTGTAGGATAATCAGAAGATTGCCACCGGACCTCGGCGCCATACGCGTAGATCACTTGGTCAGCACCACTGGTGGTGATTATTTTTGTCTTTGCTTCCCCCAGTGTTGTAGTTGTGTAGATAAACTCTACAGTTTTGGCAATCTTTCGAGTGCAGCGATCTGTGACCATGAAATCATACTCTAGATCGCGTATACAATCATAGGTGCTATATCAAGACAATCAGTCGCCAAATCAGGCCAATTCTAGCACAAAAGGAAAAGATTAATATAAGACCTACCCTTGTGAGCCGTCATCAGGGCAGCAAGTTGCTATCGTCTCTTTGGCTCCCGTTGAAGCACATGCCACCGTGTGCTTTCTCGGGCAGCCAGCAGGTGACATGAAAGCGCCCTCGCTGGCGCTCCACTCTTTAGGAAAGCACTTGGCCGTGTATGTGGGTGCGCCCAAGTGAAAGAAGCTGCAAGGGGTAGGTTTGGTGCCTTGAAAGCAGGTTTCCTCCGGAGCGTCGACCAGGTAGATCTCCTTTACACATGACATTACCGCTGTGTAAGTGAAGGGCAAGAGAGTGGTCAGCGACGCCACAGCGGTGAATGCTGTAGTGGACGCCATTTGAAGCCGATCAAATGCGAGATATGATATTGGACGGGATCGGAGGTCTGACTTCCAATGGTTGCGTGCGATCACCAGGCCTTTATTGCCATTCTTTCAGGAAGAGGTGGAGCCTGTAGGATGCTACCATGACGCACTGGACGGTAGCAAGGCATGTGGCAATGACTTGGTTTGGTCGTCTCTCCAAGTCTCTGTACCAATATTACTCGAGAACTCACCCATTCTGAACTGTAATGTAGGTATCCAGCAAAACGGATGCATCTTTCGAGGTATGACATGTTGTCTTCAAGTTCGAATCAAAGCTCATTTTCTGCTTTCAGGTATTTGAAGAGGCCACTATTCCAATTTGAGTTACGAGAGCTCTTGAGTCAGTGAAGTCTCTCGCACATTGGTAAAATAATGAGCAGAGAGGCGATTGGCTCGTTTATCTCGTTTTGCCTGGAAACTCAGGGGCGAGGCTTTCAGCTACTTCGGCAAGGATTTAGTCGCATGGCCGCAATCCAGTTTCTTCATGCAATGATGATGTGGTTTAAATCCCAAAATGTGACTCTGACCCGATATGTGAGCCTTAGTTGAGAGAGAGCTGAAAGAATGCCCCACCGATGGGCATGGCCAAGCGTTTCAGGGCCTGCATACGGCCTTTATTGTCCACAGTGCTTGCTGGTACAGGGCAAGGAATATGGAGTTCAGGGACCCTGGCGTAAGGCAGATTCGATGAATGTGGCGGATCGAGCCCCCATGAAAGAAGCACTGAAGGGCGAATCAAGAATGAAGATGAATTTTAGCCTGATAATAGGATGTAATATTGATCGTGGATGACTATGATGACTGGAGAGGTGTATGGCTCAAATCCTTCCCTCATTGTCCCCCTTCCGGACTGCACAGGTGGGGTAGTAACTTGGAAGCCCTTTTCTTATTAGCGAAGTCGCTGAAATCAGGGCAGTGTAAAGGTATATTATTCATTCTGTTAAGATGTCGGGTCTGGCATCTTCAGTGCTGGTTTTACTTCGTACTCGAACTCTCTCATCCATGTCAACCACACGACGAATTAAAATTTGGTTGTATAAATTCAGGCAGTGGTTTATTCTATAATATCAATGAGCTATTAGCTCGGTAGGAGCACCTTTGCATCAATTTCCAAGGTGAGAGTGATCTAGAACTCTAACTGGATTTTGATACATTGAACTCGTCAATTACGCTCCGGGGCTTCGAAAATTTCCCGAGAGGTTTATATTCGAGGTCATTAAAGCCGAAGCCCTTGGGCCCTCCGATCTCGATCCCCCTCGCGGTCGAAGTCCATTTATCCGAAGCTGTAATGCCGATAACCACAACGGGAAGACCGTAACGATACTCCTGAGTGCCCAGAGCCTCACCATTCTGTGCATCGATCACGCAGACAAGGTCAGGTACAACGGCGAGAAACTGCACAGCATTGTTAGTTGTCAGATATCATGAAGTAGGATCGTGAACTGGTCATCACAATACTCGGCTTGTGGTTGAGTGAGACATACCTCTTCTTTTCCATTGGCATCAATCTTTTTGGCATAGATGTTCTCGTTCTTGAAGGGAATAATGACGCGTTCCTTTGCTGAAGTTGATACAACGCCGTTGTCATCCTGCGAAGCGGCGAGTTCGATAATAGCCTCACCGTACGTATGCCCCATTTTAACAATTCTTTCTACGCCGATGATTTTCCCCTTGGCAAGGACTCGAGCTGACTCCGGCCCACCGACTTCAGCTATGATGGACTCGGCCACAGTGTCAATGGTGTTGGCGCATCTTGATAGGGTTACTGCGCGCCCGATTCTCCAGGACAGCGACATGGTGTTCTCTACCACCCACTTCTTCGTATTCTTGCCGCTGACTGGGCCTTTGGCACATCCTACATGGGAGCCCATTTGAGAAAGAGCGGCACGGAGTGCACGCTCCGCATCCAGCTCTGTAGGTGCGTGAGTCATGAGCTAGATGATGTCAGTTCAGAGTCTTCTTCTCATGATGATACACTCTTACGATGATTCGCCCGTTTCCATCTGAGATGCATGTTGGCACCATCATCGCTTTCTTCTCGAAGACTACCGGAGTAGTCTGCCAAGAGACAGGATACGCTCTTCCCATCCAGTCGCCGTCGATTGCTGGGATATCTAAGGCTGACGAAGCGCCAATAATCAAGCCTTGTAATCCGTTGCCTCCACCAATCTCTAGGGGAATAACGGCGTCAGGCTTCGTTTTCAGAAACTTGTAAAGTTCTCTCTGCGACTCGAGTATTCTTTCCACATTGGCGTTGATTAGCTTTTGATCTCTTGGGTAATTAAGGATACAGAATAGGAAACAGCAGAAACTGGGAACTCACTCATCGCCGTAAGGCTTTTCTATGGACACTTGTGGAGATCCCTTTCCACCTCCACAGGCGATAATATCGTCATCGTTCAGATCCTGTGGGGATATTACTCGTAATGTTGCTCCCCCGCGTAGGAGCTCTCTCAAACGAAGGAAGTGTTGGTATGGGCTGCCGCCTCCTCCTGTTCCAAGAATATAGCATCCGATCGTGATGAACTCCAAATCAGTCTCGGACAAGAGCCACTGTCGGTTGATGACACTGGGCTTGTAGGACATGACATCTTCTTTGGTCAAAACTAGAGAGCGTGAAGTTGATGGTAAATCTTTAGAGTTTTCCCCATTGGTGGTTTTTTGTTCAATATGATTTCCATCGTCGGCGAAACCATCAACTCCTGCATTTACCATGGCGGGAATTTCCTCAAAGTCTGTACGGGAATAATCAAAATCACCAACAGCTTTGATGATAATCCGAGACTTGTTAGCGATATACTACCCCAAGACGTCAGCGAATTGATCACAAAGCTTGAGGTCAATGGCAACTTCAGTACCTGCAGTGGGAATGTCTCCATCTCGGCAATGACGACCGATTCTCTCAGCGCTCCATTTGCCACAACTTTGTCCGTTGCTCTTTGGGACAGTTCTGACAAGATCTCTTGCTGAGTTTTTGATTCGGTGCTTTCCACGGAATCGATCACTCCACTGACCCGCGCAGTCGCAGCGCCAATTGCATTTGCAACGCCTGACCACTTTGGCTTGACCACACGGCTGGCACCCACAAGACTGTCTGGGGCGATGACTGCACCTCCACCGACTAACACAATCGGGATGTCTTCAGGGGAGGTTTTCATCGTGTCCACGATCTGTTCAAGCATAGACTTGACCTTTCTTTGGAACTCTGGCAAGTTCTGTTCCAGGCTACACCCTTCTAGTTTCATTCGATCTCCAATTTGAACATCCGAACTCCCTAGTACAGTGTAATCTGTGGCGGTTGAAATATCGCCTCCAAAGACGAGTGCCTTGCTTTGGATCTGATAGCCCACACTCTCGGGGCCAACAGTCAACTTTCCGGACTTGTCTCGCCCGATGATCGACCCTCCTCCAAGCCCTATACTTCTGACGTCTGGGTATGAGAAGTTGGTTCGAACGCCGGCAATCTCACTGTAAGCAGCTGCCTGTCGTGGGAAGCCATTCTTCAGCAGTAGGCCAACATCCGTAGTTGTGCCACCAATATCGACCACCATCATCACTTCGTTTCCATGGTCTTGCATTAGGAAAGCAGCACCGCGCATACTGTTGGTCGGTCCACTCGAGAAAGTCCGAATGGGCACCCGGGCGGCAGCACTAGCTGGTAGGATCGTCCCATCGTTTTGCGTAACAAAGACTGGACACTTGAGGTTCAACCGGGAGACAGCCTCCTGGAAGGAATGGATAGTTCGGCGAGCAAAAGGAAGAATCGACGCGTTGAGAATCGCAGCATTCTCCCTTTCCAGGAAGCCAATATTTGCGACTTCCTTTGAGCAAACAACATTGGCCTCCGGATAAATACTTCGGATGATCTCGGCGGCGGTTTCCTCTTGCTTGTATATCAAATCAATCGGGCTGAAGACGCCAACAACGACGATGCTTCTTATGCCCAGTGATTTGATCTCAGTGCATTGACGTCGAACCTCATCTTCGTCCAGCTCTGAAATCAAACTGCCATCAATTTCTAGACCTCCGTTCACTAGGCCCCTGTAAGCACACACAATGTTACGGAGCCGTGGAGGCCAGTCGATTCCGATAGGAATGTCCTTGGAAAATGGACCACAAAGTCGTATGACGGCGACTTTGGCCAACCGCGATTGGTCCATTTCGACCACCGCGTTGATGAAATGGGTTGTACCGATAGTCACACTGGCCACATCCTCCGGATCAATGTGAGAGTCCTGGAACATCTCTTTGATAACGTTGATAATTCCATCGCTGGGGTTGCTCGTCGTGCTCGCCTTTTTCCAGGCCACAATACCTCTATCAGGATCGGAAGACTTTGAAAGATCTAAAATCACTCCGTCTGTATTGGTTCTGGTCACCGTATTAGTGTTCTAGTACCTTGATCAATGATATTCCATAGTCTTACCCGCCAACATCGACGCCGATCCTAAGCTTGGGTGTACTCATCGTGCTTCGTCTCTAGATTCTGTTTCTCGTACTCTGTACTCATCAAGGTATCATGGAATTCAATATCCGCCTTAGGCCACGAGTCCAACGGGGAAACGAAAGACTACTCCTCGGCATGCAGAAATACCTGCCGACGTCGGACCTACTAAGCCGTACCTCAGACGTGGAACGATCGGGGGTTAGGAACTCTACCCGATGATAACTATTTAGACCCATGGAACCCCGCTTCTCCAGTGGCATGCGTAGATAAGACACTTGCGGCTAATTGGCATTGGAGACAGATGAGTGGAACCACGATGTGACGTTGTCCCCATTCAAGGCTGTTGTGTCGGAACTTCTCCGACAAGAATTAAGGTAAATTAATTTTGAAGGATTCATCGGCCTGACACCGACCCCTAGCGTCGCTCTCCAGTCCCAACGGTTCGGAAGAGATA